ACCTGCGCCGCCGCGGGTCGGATCATTCCGACCCACGCCGGCGCGGGTCGGATCATTCCGACCCGCACGGGCGCGGGTCGGTTTGGTCCGTCCCGCGCGGCGCGCTGAGATCTTTTGTTATGCTGATTTCTTGCGTTTTACGACTTTTCCGGTCTTCCGGGACTTGTAGTTTCTCCCGTTTTGTTTACTCATCCGTCGTGTTGACTTGTATGCTCCACGCGAGTTGATTAATGTACGTTGATTAACGCCATCGTGAACTGACTGACGCGCACACTGATTGACATGCACGAGCTGAATGATGCGTGCGTGTTAACTGACTGTTGGGTGCGTTTGTACGCTTTGAGTTGATTAACGCATGCGGTCCACTTGGTGTTTTCCATTGCGGTGGTTCGTTGTCGTGTCATCAACAGTTTGCCGATTCGCTTCATGCGCTTGTCGATGTCGGATAATCCTCTTTGCTTCGGATAATAATGTTCATCTAGACGCCTACAACTCTCACACTACACAAACACTATGCAATCATACTTTACACACTAAGTGTAGGAACCTACCCCGTGTCCTCCTCCTCAAGTGCTCGATTACAACCTCTTCCTAGGTTCGTCAATCGACGCCACTCCTATTGGATTCGACGCCATGTCTCGCCTCATACTTCTCTCAGTGTATAAGTGTATTACAAGTGATTCTCACAAATAAAAGTTAAATACAATGATTTGTTCTCAAATAACAAGTGAGAACACAATGAAGCTCACACTCACTAAATCACACTCCACAACCCACACTATATGGTATGAAAATATTAAGCTCAATAAGTGTGTGTGATAACAGTGAATGAAACTCAATAGATATAGCTAAATGAAATGAAAATGAAATAATAAGCTATATAAGAGTTTAGAAGACTTCTCAAACAAGAAGAACAGTAGAGATGATTCCAATAGGATTTGAATGCCACTTCTTGTTGTAGAAAAAACATCTCTTGAAAACTGATTGATGAAATCAACTATTAAACAGCTCTTAAACACAATTAATATTTTGTTAAACACCAAACTTGGATTTCTCAGATGTAGAGAGGAAGAACAGCAATGGGGTATATATAGCACCCCAATACAACAGCAAAAACATAAGTAAAAGACCAAAAAACCAGTTTCAAAACAGCTGTAAAAAACTAGCCGCGGTCGACCGGTGTGGTCGACCGTGAGCATAAAACAACTGAGCTCAGGAAAATACAACTGGCGGTCGACCGCACCGGTCGACCGAAAACTGATATATGGCATATTGACAGGTTTTGGGGCTGTTTTAAAAATGTATTAAAAATATCAAATCAAATCCAAAAATAGTGAAACTTTGGGGAAAGTTTCTAAATGATAAAATAAACATGTTTGAAGAGGAATTTTTGAAAAATCAATTTTTTTTTGTGAAAAGTCCCTGTTTTTGAAAAGTATTCAAAAAACCTGTTTTTCGTGAATATGAAAATTGACATGAAGCTTGTAAATATGTATATATCTATTGAGCATGTATTATATGTATATAATGAAGTATGAAAGAGCTGTAAACATGAGATAAAAGTTATTGTAACAACGTTTGGTGAAAAATCATTTATATGATAGAAAACGTCAAAAATCGTGTTAAGTGTACATATATTGAGCTTAGATATAATCATACAATATATGTAAGTAAACCAAACATATACCTAGGTAAATCCACACATATGAACTTGAATCTTTAACGCTTGATTGACGTGTGTTGAAATACCTGAAAAGAGAAACATAAACACAAAAACTAGAGAATATATTAGCGATAAATTGTTTGACAAATCATCATCAAAACTATAGGGTCAACAAACCATACTTGAATTCATGGAGTAGGATGTGACTCTTGAGTTTTGAGATGTAAATCTTCCAAATCTTCTACATAGATATCCTCCTTAGAGAAACCCTAGTTTTTTTGAAGATGGAAAATTAGAAAGAGATTGTATGTATAAATTTGAGAAACCACAACCCTATTTATAACTGATATCAGTTATTCATAGTTATAAATTCAGCCCATCATAGAACTAATAATTGTAGTTTGATCTCTACACATAAGAGCCTCATACTTTAATTATGCATTAAAAATCCAAACCCTAAATTAGATCATTTTAATGGTATTTTAGAGCACAATTAGAACCCTAAATTAGAACAAAAAAAAAACACAAAAAGATATTTTGGAGCACAATTTTGGCAAAAGAAAAAACAATTAGGAATCATGACCCTGACCTGAGCAAGCAGGAGGAAAACGAATCACATAAGGCGGGAGATTTCTATTTTTAAGATTGAAAATATAAAAAAAGTCATAAAGGATTTTTTTCTAATAATTTAAGAGGTATGTTTGTCTTTTTAGGTCACGTGGGCTGCTTGTGCCAATTTAGATGTAATGATATTAACTCTCAGAGTTCTATGTGAAAGTAAATTAGGGTTTAGTGTGATTCTGAAAGTTATTGGGGATGTAGTTTGATTTTGAAAGTTATTGAAGGTTTAATGTGATATTTGAAAGTTCTTTGGGGATTTATTGTTATGTTGAAAGTTATAGGGAGTTTATTATAAAGCGCTATAAGTTAAAATAAAATAGGGTGACCAATTTGAGTATGAAGACCCAGTGCAAAGATGAAATGGAGAAAAAATAAGGTAAATTATATTAAACTGCGACGAGCTTTTAACAGTTTTTAGTAAATCCTATGAACTTTTAAAATCACACTAAATGCCCAATAACTTTTCTATTTTTCATAAACCCCCTAATAAGTTTTTATATTTTGTAGATAACCCCCATAAATCAGAAGCTGAAAACAACATAAAAAGGTAATTTTGAAAGTTATTAGGGTTAAGTATATATCAAAAGATATTGGAATTTTTTGGAAAGTTATTAGGGGTTAGTGCGATTTTGAAACTCCATAGGGTGTACTGCGAAGTACTAAAAGTTCATCGAGGCTCAATGTAATTTACCCAACAAAATAAAGTAATCAATTTGAGTATGAAGCCCAAATATAGAGACCAAGTTAAGAAAAAAGAAAGTATGAAGACTAATTTGAGTACGAAGTCTGGGTACAAAGACCAAATTGGCCTTTTAAGCCAACATGAGAATATATTTCACTCTTCTTCTCTATATCTTCTTTTCCTGTTGGGTTTCCTTTCCTTTCCCTAATAGACTCCCAAACACAATAGAAATAGCAAGTGGAGGTGAGGTTAGTATTGTCTCTATCAAGTAAATATCTTATTAGAATACTCCATAAAATGAGATGATCTACATCATTCATTAGGGGATCGTGATCCTTTCCAATTAGATGGTAATTGGAAAGAGTCAAATTTTATTAGTCATTCTCATCTACATAGGACTCATCTATATCACTTTCAACAAATGAGATCACACTATTGTTACATTGAATATCAATTTGGTCTTAAAACCCAATAGTAAACTTAAAAATCACTATAGTCAAAACCACTATTTCTGTTACTGAAAAATTAAGGCGACGTGATCTCATTTATTAGAATTGTGATAGGGGATAAGAATTGAGAAAATTGGACCCTCTACAATTTCGAACTGATTTGAAGAGGATCTGAAGGATTAGGAATTATAGTCATTGTCTCTACCGTGTATAATCATCCCTCTCCCGTGAGGATGGTTTCATAAGATTCTTATGGGTCTTTGTGGGTCACTGGATTTATCAGAATATTCAATGTGTTTCTTCTGAAGCTGAACTCAGAAGACAATGGAAGCATTGGATCGTAGGGAATCCAGCAAGTGGAGTGATCTACCTTGTTCAGGTACCCTTAGCTCACCCCTAAAATGTAGATGCATGTTTTCTATTTGATGAAATTCCTCACTCATTCCTGAAACATCTCATGAGAAAAATAAGTTGAATAAAATTTGCTATATTTGGATTATTCATCACCAATTCTGTGTAAGAACCCAGAAAAAAAAGGAACCCCTTTGTCTCTTCCCTTCATACAAATGCTGCGGTTGCTAGCCATTGTAGGAGAAAGAATCGCAGAACCCAAACCCAATACCCAAAATGGCCACCCCATCTCCCGAAAACACTCCCACATTTCTTTCTTTCTCCTCTTTCAACCCAAAAAAGAGAAAGAATAAAACAATTTCTGAACATCACCATTGTCCCATTACTCCATTTTACAATCTTTTCCATTATCCTCTATCGACATTCGATCCAAACAACATGGTAATGTTGCTTGTATTGAGAAGAAAACACGGAAACAGATAAGAGTGTGCGCAGAGTGCATAATGTTGTCCGCTGAAGATCCGTCTACGCCCAATTCGACGACGGGCTCCGAATCAACAACCGACGATGAACACGACGTCTCCCACATTGAGAAACTATTACCCAATGGGGATTTCTACACAGGCCAATGGAGCAATGACCTCCCTAATGGCACTGGCAAGTATCTATGGACGGATGGATGCATGTACGAAGGCGAGTGGCAGGATGGCAAGCCCATGGGAAAGGGGAAATTCTTGTGGCCATCAGGTGCGACCTACGAAGGAGACTTAAAAAACGGGTTCATGGACGGGGAGGGAACGTACACAGGCACGTGTGGGGCGACGTACCATGGCTCGTGGTCTATGAACCTCAAGCAAGGCCATGGCAAGAAGTCATACGCTAATGGAGATCACTATGAAGGAGAGTGGCTTGCAGGGCAACAAGATGGGTACGGTCGGTATATTTGGAAGAATGGTAATGAGTATGTCGGTCATTGGAAGGCTGGGGTAATTCATGGACGTGGAACCCTAAGTTGGGCGAATGGGAACAAATATGACGGTGGCTGGGAGGATGGGTTGCCTAGGGGAAATGGTAGTTTTCGGTGGGCTGATGGAAGTTTGTATATCGGTTTTTGGAGTAAAGAGGGGACCGGAGTGAATCAGAAAGGGGTTTACTATCCAGCACCCACGGCATCTCCCACTGCGCGAAACCCTAATGAGGTGTTCGCCAGTGATCTGATTGATTGTAAGGTTAGCCCTGGGGAAACCGTATACATTCTTCCTTCACAGAAGATACTGAATTGGGCAGAAACGGAGACAGAGTTTTTGCAGAAGCAGGCGATTTGGAAGACGTGCAAGGTTTTGGAGGTACTGCAGCCTTGGAGGAGGTCTTCAGCAGATGCTGTTGTGCCAACTGGTGGGACCCCAACAAGGAGGTTTAATGGGCATATATTCACAAATACATTATCGGGGATGGAGAGGTTTTGTATGTGGGATTCAAATGGGGATGGTGGTAGTGATAACGTGAATGGTGTTGGCGAGGAGGGATTTGAGACAATGAGGTACCAACCGACGCCGCTTCATCTTATGAAGTGGCCGAAGGAGTCGAAGAAGCAAGGGGAGACTATATCCAAGGGGCATAAGAATTATGACCTTATGCTTAATCTACAGCTGGGGATAAGGTATTTCTTCCACATCTAAATGTAGAAGGATATGTTTGACATGTGTTTGTACTAGGGCATAAGGATTGTTTTAGTCTTCTGTTATTTTTGTGGATTTTTTTATGTTTGACATGCTACCAGTCTTTCATTTCCCACCTTTTTGTTGTAGATAGTTATGTAATTTGTTTGTGACGTCTAACTTATAATTCATTGTGGCTTGAGTCAGAATTTTCTTTGTAAGTTAATTTTTATGTCATGAATAAGCTTTCTTCAATATTTTAACTTTTTTTTCGGAAGATAGAGATTTCCAACGAGTCCTTTTGTAAGCTTGTAAATGTTGTTTCACGTTCAGAGACACGCTGTAGAAACATGGATATTTTTGGGCTTAATGAAGGTTATACAGAGAAAAAGGTTAATATCTTTCGATGATTATATAATGTTTAAAGCCACAAAATTATCGTATCATCTCTGGCTCCTCTGCTAAGATTTTATATCATTGTTTAACCTCGATCTGAAAAACGATGAAAAAATGATTCACTTCTCATCCCCACATTATATCTTATTTTCTGGTTTCTATTCCTAAAAAAATCAATAAATAGCACGCTTCAGATTCTATGGAGATGGAAGATTGGTCAAATATGAATGTTATAAAACCTCAGAAAATTTGAAATATTTGGATGTTGTATTGTACCTTTATAGCTCCTTATATAGTTAGTACAATGTTGTAGGCATGCTGTTGGAAAGCACGGCCCACCTTCTACACTTGATTTGAAATCATCGGCATTTGATCCCAAAGAAAAAGTATGGACAAAGTTCCCTCCTGAAGGATCAAAACATACACCTCCACATCAATCTTGTGATTTCAAGTGGAAGGATTACTGCCCTTTGGTTTTCAGGTGAGATCAGTTAGTGTATCTCTTCACCTTGCTTGTTCTTTTGATATGTTGCTGATTTAAGCAACCTCATTACTTGCATTGGATGTGAAGAACTTTGCGCAAACTCTTCAAGGTTGATCCCGGTGATTATATGCTTTCCATCTGTGGTAGTGATGCCCTTAGGGAACTCTCTTCCCCGGGAAAAAGCGGAAGTTTCTTTTACCTTACGAATGATGACCGCTACATGATAAAGACTGTGAAAAAGTCTGAAGTAAAAGTGAGTTTTTTTTTGAATTTTTATTTTTCCTTTGTTCTTCCTCATTTCAGGATTTTCCTTCTTGATGAAATCTACTAAATTCAAATATAACCTCTGCATGGTTTGTTTTGTTTCCTTGCTATGAAATGCACAGGTTCTCTTGAGAATGCTCCCCGCCTATTATAATCATGTCCGGGCTTTTGAAAATACTCTAGTTACCAAGTTCTTTGGACTACACTGTGTCAAACTAACCGGAGCTGCTCAAAAAAAGGTTTGACATGGGGCAAAGTATTTTTGGGTTAATTGCGGATAAAACCCCTATACTATCTCCAAATTGAACTTACTTCCCCTGTAGTTTTATTGTTGCAGATAGGCTCCTTGAAGGAGTTATATTGTTGCAGATAGACCCCCTCAACAAAAAATATATTGTTTCAGATAGAACCCCACCCCTAAAAGGGGTCCAAAATTTTCACTCAGGGATACCGGGATAGTAAGTTCAATTTGGCAATATTACAGAGGATCTATCCGCAATTAACCTGATATATTCTCTATTCTGAAAACATTAAACCTTAGTTTCATATATTGGTAAGTGTTTGCTCACTTTTGCAATGCTTTTTCAGGTTCGTTTTGTTATAATGGGAAATCTATTCTGCACTGAATATGTTATTCATAGGCGTTTTGATCTAAAAGGATCTTCGCTTGGCCGAACAACAAATAAACCCGAGTCAGAAATTGATGAAAACACGACATTAAAAGATCTTGATCTCAGTTTTATATTCCGACTGCAAAGAGCTTGGTTCCAAGAGTTCTGCAGGTAATCATTTTTGACTTGCTCCAAATTTTGTTCTCAATCTGAATCTTCCTTATTCTCTCAATCAGTTTATTTCTCTCTTCTTTAGGCAAGTAGATAGAGACTGCGATTTCCTTGAACAGGAGAGGATAATGGATTATAGCCTTCTCGTAGGCATTCATTTTAGGGAATCATCAGCATCTGAAGGTTTTTTTTAATTTTATTTTCTGAGGGTTAATTAAAGTTCTGCAGTTTTAGTATGAAGTTAAAATTATTCTTGATTACAGAAGCTGTCAAAACTGAGGACAATGTTATGCGAACACCTCGCCTTTTGAGAGAAGATGGCATGCACCTTCTTTGTGATCCCAAAAGGTAAAACTAAGAAAAATTTCATTTCTTTCTCATTTTGTTTAATTTTCAATGTTCGTTTTTGCTGAAAAGATTTTAGCATTCACGTGGTTAAAAAAAACCACTCATAGGATGTAGAAAGATGTTGGGAAATGGGAACTGCTTGATTATGAGGTTAGTGTTATCCTAAAGTTCTGCACACCAGCAAAGTACTAAGATTATGTCCATGTGTGCAGAATTATGTTCTTCAGTTTGTCTGAATATTTTATGGCAATTCCATCAAGGACAATTTTATGATAATCTACACTTATTCAGCATATCAAAATGAATCTACAAATGAGAGATCAGGTGGTTCCAAAACTTCTTTCACATCCAAAGTTAATTGCAAAACAAATGTTATTGCAACCATAGAAAAGACATGATGATGCATGGTTAAGAAATTTCCAGAGTCCAATCTTCCACTCTTGAACTATTTCGAATGTAATCAGGATGAACGGTGTGGATCGTTCCAAACATGACTTGTTGTCGAGTTTTCTCAATACTTACTTTGTAAATTAGTTTCCACCTGAATATGCCCCTTATGTGTGTGTGAGCGTGCGTGTGTGCAGGGCTAAATTTCAAGAACCTACCATGAAGTTGGAGTTGGTTCTACTAAGGTATCATGGAAATTTTTTGCATCACATAACTAGGACGGACATATGTATCTCTTCATGGATATGTTTTACTTCACATAACTAGGACGGACTTATGTATCTCTTTAGACAAAACTAACTTCTTTTAAGTCTGTAACACTTTAAGACAAAACTACTCTTACTGTTAGACCCTAGAGGGGGGTGATTAGGGTCTTATGCTAATCTAATCCGATTTAAATGCCAATTAAATTAATTAATAAGTTATCCTAGCAAGTATGAAATACCATAAGATATATGAGCTAGGATAAGCAATATAAACAATGAGATATATCCTATATGATAAAATATATATGCAAAGATATATAAACTAATACAAGGGTAAACAATATGAAACAAGATAGAGGATGATATGAATAATGAGACAATGGCGATATGAGCAATGAGCACAAATATAAATAAACGCCAAAGCACATTCAAACACACAATATGATCACGGAGTTCGGACCTTCCGTCCTACGTCTCCGCTCCCCACTCCCGGGGAGAAATCCACTATCACAACCGGGTTTTCTACGTTCACCCGAATAACGTTTACACATCACAGTATCGGTTTTCAACGCTCACCGATCAACGTCACTCCTCACAATCGGTTTTCTAGTTCACCGAAAACTTCACAACACACTCGGTTTCTAGCTCACCGAAAACCTAACAATCTCACAATGTAACAAATAAAAATTGTTCTCTAATATGGATGAGAGCACAATAAAAGCCCACACTTAATGTTACAACTCTCACAACCCTAATATATTATGAATGCAAATACAATAAGCTTAAGTGGGTGTGTGTAAACAATGAGTGAAATCAAAATCAAAACTAAACTCAATTAAAATCTAGCATATAGAAATTATAAACAAAATAATAAATAGCTAGAAATGAGTTTAGAGATTTTTCTCTGAATAACAAGATTGAGAGATGGAGATTGAAGCCCAAACAAGAAGATGATCTCCTCCACTTGTGAAAACTTCTTCATAAACAAAACAAACCCTTAAACACACTTTAAACCCTTGTTTAAAACTTGTTTTTAAAAACTTCTTTTCTTTTTAAAACATTTCTTAAGTTCTTGAAAAGAGATCAGCAATTGAGTATTTATACCCACTCAAGATCTCAACAAGAACCCCAAACCAAATGACAAAACAGCCCCAGAAAACAGCTCAGAAAAATAGCCGTTAGTGTCTAACGGATCTATTATCGGTCGACCGAAAATTCTGTCGGTCGACCGATGGAGAAGTTCGGTCGACCGACGGAAAAGTCCGGTCGACCGCTATCCAGGTCAAAACAAAAGAGAACGAGCAGAGACTTCGTCGGTCGACCGGTGCGGTCGACCGATGGAGCTCTCGGTCGACCGCACCGGTCGACCGACCAACTCTCTGCTGCATGGTGACGAAAGAACAAATGATCGGTCGACCGGTGCGTCAAATAAATTCTAAAAAATGTAAAACTTTGGGGAATGATTGTAGACATGATAATAAACATGCTACAACGACTGGTTATCAGAAAGGACTTCCCAAATATAAAATATCATCATTTTGCAAATATGTTCAAAAACATGAAAACCTAAAAATTGATATTTTGATATTTTGACTTAAACAACATTTTGAAGCCTTATAAAATGATTGTATAGACTTGATAAAAGATATAACATGTTGTTATGAAGTCTATAACCTAGAAATACCATATTTTCATAAAATTGCATATTCTATGTAATATATACAAAACACTAAATATGATTTCATTAAATATAACTTGTTAAAGACGAAATCATATATAGGCACATAAACGTGAAACAAAATAGTATTTTCCAATTTTATTTATTTGTTTCATATATAAACTCGAAAATTATTAAACCAAAAACATATATGTATATATATAACTGTATATATACAAAACCAAAACCAAAGCGTGTATGTGTGTGTATGATTGAGCTTAAAGTACTAACACACATAATATAAAACCTAAAACTAATTTACCCAAGCTTGATCTTGATTTTCATTGTAGCTCAACTTGGTACACATGCGGATGAAGCTTGAACTTGATCTTTAACTTGAATTGTATAGGCTTCAACCCGACATTCCGCCAACCTCCTTTGGATATGATCGTTGAAGCTCTATTCCATCCATCCTCCAACTACGTTGTTTGTCTATAATAAATAAGAAAACAAAAATACTAGACAAACAACATTAGTGGTAAATTGTTTGTTAAACATCATCAAAACAAGAAGGCCAACAATCTCCCCCTTTTTGATGATGACAAACAATTTACAAAAAGAAATATATGCATGAAGAAAATGAATATACAATGTATAATATATCATGCATATAAGCAAGAAAGAATATACTCATAATATTTCTCCCCCTTTGACAACATCAAAAAGGGGACAAAAAGAATAAGAGAGCGAAAGCTCCCCCTATCAATAAGCATGAGTGAGTATAAAAACAAACATAGAATGGGAATAGCTCCCCCTATCAAAATGCCATATAAAATATGTGCAATAAAGATCATGGCAAAACATGTGAGCAAGCATACATGAATATGCTAAATATCACTCACATACAAAAAGATAACGAGAACACATATAAATATGTCAATATGAAAATAGTGTCTCATTAACACAAAAATATAAAAACCATATAAAGGACTAGATTTATGAAATCAAAAGAAGAAGAACATGAGAATCATGCAAAAAGTTTTCAAATGAAAACGAATCACCCAAAAGAAATCATAAATCAAAATTTAAATTATAAAACCAAATCATCATTGATTTTTAAAAATCAAGAGAGGCAATTTTATCTAGCTCTTGAGCTAGTATCAACCCATATGAATATTTTAGCAACCGGTAAATATGATTTGGGAATAAACACCCAATAAATCCGGAGGGTTATATAAATACCGACCTCTCATCAAAACAAAAATAACTAATCATGAAAACAAAAAAGATTTGATCAAAGAAAATTTGTTTTCATAACAAAAAGGTTTTAAGACATGATTTTTCAAAACCAAGAAAGGAAAAAGTAAGAACACTAAAATTCTTGGTTTAAAGTTTAAATTTGTTTTGGTACCCAAGAACTCTTGGTACCAAAAGATTTAGGGACATGACCCCTATCATTTAAGTTCAAAGCCATAGGGTTATGAGCCCTTTTAGGCATATATGATGCACTAACACGGTCAAAGCAATAATCGCTCAATTGGCCCTTCCGATTGCAATACGTGCAATGAAAGAGATCCATTTGTTTTTGTGGACCATTAGCTCGTGCACGGGAAACATTTGCAACCATAGATGATCTTTTAAGATTATTTTGCAAATGTGAAACATTATCAAAACAAAACTTTTCTAAGTGACCATATCTACCACAAACATCACATCTAAAAACATGTGGCCTACTAAAAATATTTGGCAAATAAAATTTTCTTTTTAAATCAAAATAATATTTGGCCAAATGACCAAAACGATCACAAAGATCACATGAATACACATGAGCATGCATATGATGAACTTTATGAGAGTGTGCATGTGCATGTGTATGTGATGAAGAAGCCTTATGAGATGCACAAGAAACATTGATATTACTATTTTGAGATTTTTGTGCATCATAGCAAAATTTAGATAAATGGCCTTTACGATCACGAATTGAACACTTGTAAACTTTGCTATATATATGTGCATGGTGTATGAGATGTCTAGATATGGTAGCATGAGACTTAGCACATATATCCATAAGTTTCTTGTGATTATTAATGCATGTAGTAAGAGTTGAATCTAAATAAGAAATACGGTTTTTAACATCATTCAACTCATCATTAGGCATATGTGCATTTTTATTAGAAGTAGAACATATATAGTCATCTATAAAAGAAGCCGTATCATTTTGTATGCTCTTTACTTCTAACATGGCATTATCTCTTTCATGAGTTAAGCTAGAAATGGATGATGTCAATTTTTTATTTTCTAAAATTAACATGTCATTGTTTTCTTTAAGCATGGTATTTTCTTTTGCAATGACATCCAATTTTGACACTAGCTCCTCATGATCGGATTCTAAATTATCATGCTTGCATTTTAAATCAATAAAATTATTTTGCAATTTGTTAAAGGCATGCAATAATTTTTCACTAGCACAAGCAAGTTCATCACTAGATAAATCATTAATGGATTCGAACTCGCAAACCTCACTAGGGCTATCGCCTAGTGGCCGTGTGCATGAAGCTCCATATGAACTTGAAGCGGGATCCTCCAAAGCTTGTCGGATCGCCTCCAAGTCTCCTTGATGCGCTTCTATGAATTTCCATAATGTATAAGCGCTATCAAAAGAATCAAGCTTGTTAGACATAAATGAATCAAATGCATTTAATAAAAAATCTAACATAAGCTTGTTCATAATAAACATCTTTTTATCATGTTTGCTCCACTTGGATTTCTCCAACGTGAGCACAATATAAGCACAATCAATGATTTCTCATAAATCGATATTTTTAGATTGAACAAATATTTTGAATCTAAAACACCATTAAGCATAGGGGAAGACATTGAATTTAGGAGCAACACTAGAATCATAGCCTAAACAAGATGCATTATTCATATCCATAATTTGAAAATGTATGCAAGCAAGATACAAATAAAGCTCAAAATTAGATTAGCACAAATAAGATAACTTAGATCTTTAACTCAATGCGGTTAAACCTTAAATCAAAGAGCACCAAGCTCTGATACCAATTGTTAGACCCTAGAGGGGGGGGTGATTAGGGTCTTATGCTAATCTAATCCGATTTAAATGCCAATTAAATTAATTAATAAGTTATCCTAGCAAGTATGAAATACCATAAGATATATGAGCTAGGATAAGCAATATAAACAATGAGATATATCCTATATGATAAAATATATATGCAAGGATATATAAACCTAACACAAGGGTAAATAATGAGCAATACACAAAGGCGATATAAGATATGAAAACAAGAATAAGAACGCCAATGCAATCACAAACACACGATATGATCACGGAGTTCGGACCTTCCGTCCTACGTCTCCGCTCCCCACTCCCGGGGAGAAATCCACTATCACAACCGGGTTTTCTACGTTCACCCGAATAACGTTTACACCTCACAGTATCGGTTTTCAACGCTCACCGATCAACGTCACTCCTCACAATCGGTTTTCTAGTTCACCGAAAACTTCACAACACACTCGGTTTCTAGCTCACCGAAAACCTAACAATCTCACAATGTAACAAATATAAATTGTTCTCTAATATGGATGAGAACACAATAAAAGCCCACACTCAATGTTACAACTCTCACAACCCTAATATATTATGAATGCAAATATAATAAGCTCAAGTGGGTGTGTGTAAACAATGAGTGAAATCAAAATCAGAACTAAACTCAATTAAAATCTAGCATATAGAAGTTATAAACTAAATAATAAATAGCTAGAAATGAGTTTAGAGATTCTTCTCTGAATAACAAGATGGAAAGATGGAGATTGAAGCCCAAACAAGAAGATGATCTCTTCCACTTGTGAAAACTTCTTCACAAACAAAACAAACCCTTAAACACACTTTAAACCCTTGTTTAAAACTTGTTTTTAAAAACTTCTTTTCTTTTTAAAACATTTCTTAAGTTCTTGAAAAGAGATCAGCAATTGGGTATTTATACCCACTCAAGATTTCAACAAGAACCCCAAACCAAATGACAAAACAGCCCCAGAAAACAGCTCAGAAAAATAGCCGTTAGTGTCTAACGGATCTATTGTCGGTCGATCGAAAATTCTGTCGGTCGACCGATGAGAGCAAAAACACGAAGAAAACATTGTAGACATGATAATAAACATGCTACAGCGACTGGTTATCAGAAAGGACTTCCCAAATGTAAAATATCATCATTTTGCAAATATGTTCAAAAACATGAAAACCTAAAAATTGATATTTTGATATTTTGACTTAAACAACATTGTGAAACCTTATAAAATGATTGTATAGACTTGATAAAAGATATAACATGTTGTTATGAAGTCTATAACCTAGAAATATCATATTTTCATAAAATTGCATATTCTATGCAATATATACAAAACACTAAATATGATTTCATTAAATATAACTTGTTAAAGACGAAATCATATATAGGCACATAAACGTGAAACAAAATAGTATTTTCCAATTTTATTTATTTGTTTCATATATAAACTCGAAAATTATTAAACCAAAAACATATATGTATATATATAACTGTATATATACAAAACCAAAACCAAAGCGTGTATGTGTGTGTATGATTGAGCTTAAAGTACTAACACACATAATATAAAACCTAAAACTAATTTACCCAAGCTTGATCTTGATTTTCATTGTAGCTCAACTTGGTACACATGCGGATGAAGCTTGAACTTGATCTTTAACTTGAATTGTATAGGCTTCAACCCGACATTCCGCCAACCTCCTTTGGATATGATCGTTAAAGCTCTATTCCATCCATCCTCCAACTACGTTGTTTGTCTATAATAAATAAGAAAACACAAATACTAGACAAACAACATTAGTGATAAATTGTTTGTTAAACATCATCAAAACAAGAAGGCCAACACTTACCAGCCTGGTATTGGTTCAACCACTTATGTTTTCTGACCGGTCCAATAGGTATGGTCTGAATGCTACTAATGGACTTATGTTTGAATTTGAATCTTGCCCTCTGTATGCTTGTATGCAGAGTGCGATTCACAAGGCATGAGAAACAACAGTCATAAGGACCTCATCACATCTAGGATAAATTTATGTCTGACTTGGGCATGAATAGGCGGTATTTGATTTTGCTAAATTTCATGCGAAAATGCATGTTAACCTTTATCTAGTATAATGTCATGAGACCAAATATGAAAGTCATGCAAATTTAATGTTAGAAGTAAGCAATTTTTGCAAATACATAATTTCATGACAAAAATGCCTATATATAAGAACATGGATATGAATGTTTTTGGATGAAGTTAAGTACTTGGCCAAGGAATTTTCTAGAAATGTAACTTGGGAATACAACTATTTTTCCATAGATGTTCATGCAAATATTATTAGTCAGGTACAGCAACGAGTGGTCAAGTGAAGGTATTAAGGCAGAGTTCTTAAAAAGAAAAAAACATTAGATGTTTACCCAATAGATTTTTGTATTAGTATTTTGCAAACAAGCACAGAAAAGTTGCAATAGTCTTATGATGTTGCCACAGATTATTGCTTTAAGTGTCATTGTTCAAGAAGTGGTCGCGAGTGTTCACCAGTCAAACGTGTCAAGAAATCTGAAATTTCAAGTGTTCAGGTATCATTCTCGATCACCATATCAGATAACCCCCTGATTTGTGTAGGTCTACAATATAGGACGACTATCGCTTGGAAAATTACAGAAGGAACAAATGAAAACAAAAAAAGAAGAAATGGCAAGATTAAATTATGGTTTTAGGAGACATCGTATAAATCTCAACTTGACCTCACATCTTGATCAATCACTTCATGCCAATTAAGGTTTTATACCTTGTAACTAAGGTTTTGCACCCATAACTGCATCTTTGTTCCCCTTTTTGAAAATTCAGAACTTCTCATAAACATTTTTCTTTCCATTATTGAGAAAACCAGGTCTTTTTTAAGACTTAAATTCTTGATCAACAAAAAATTAATTCTTAAAAAGAACTTCTAATCATACTGGAATAGGAAATTTTCATAGTTAGAATCTTAAAAGTTTCTCTAATCAACTAAGCCACAGAAAATATGCTCAGGTTCATAAGACAATGCATGAATGCAATAACTGAAAATGTTCGTAGCAATAATGTATCTACGCCTCTAAAAATGCTACTATAAATTGAAATATTTTAACATCCTTCTGTAGAAAGTTATATACAACATAAAAAGAATAATTGCACATACTCCCCCCCCACCCTGTTCGATTGCTGTTTTGGACTTACACAGATCTCCCGGGTTAAATTTTTTCGGACTCTTTTACCCTGAATGAAATTTTTCCAGATTTTGGTTCTGGGTGAAATTAGTGAGTCTATATGAGAGTAAAAGAGTCAAAAAATTTAACCCACGGGTATATCTGCAGCAATTAAACTCCAGGGGTAGTAAGTTCAAAACAGCGATGCTACCGGGGGTCTATGTGCACCTAAGAAGAACATTGTTGCATTCACAAACTATGTGCTTCTAACATCAACAAAAATTTGTTTTATTAACAAATTCTTCATATTTTGGTCATGCTGCAGGTTGGCTACAGTTAGATTAGGAATAAATTTGCCAGCTAGGGTGGAACAAGTAGTAAGGAGATCATCTGATAGCGAATCAACACTGATCGGTGAACCTACAGGAGAATTTTTCGACGTAATATTGTTCTTTGGCATTATAGACATACTCCAGGACTATGATATCAGTAAAAAGCTTGAGCATGCATATAAATCGATCCAGTATGATGCAACCTCAATATCCGCTGTTGATCCAAAGCAATATGCAAAGAGATTCAAGGATTTTATCTTTAAAGTTTATACTGAGGATAACAATAGTAGCCTTATGTGAATCTACCCGTGTTCTTGGCCTTTTTAGCGAAAAAATGTAAATCAAAGTTTCAGAAGCTAAAGTACTTCTCTTGGCCATTCAAATATTGTTCCCTCTGCATTTATGATTGATAGATATATCATTATCAAGCATTTTATTTTTTGTGGATAACAATTTTTTTTTGCGGTGTAAATTGCATTTGTGTATGGTTTTATGAGTAAGGAGACAGTTTGTAAATTATTCTCCCTGCATGTAAATTAATATATATATATATATATATAAAATATTAATAATTTTAATTGAGATCAAACTAAAGCAAACTAAGATTTTATATTCTCCTATGCTATTCTACAAAGGCATGATGATGTCTAAGAATAAGTGGGTTGATTGTGGATAGATCCCTTATACTATCACCCTATTGCTAATAGACTTCCTTTTGTTCTATAGTTGCAGATAGACCCTTTGACTGATTTTTTTCCCACTCTTTTACTCTTAGGAGGTCTATTTTTTTAATTATAAAAAGCTTCACTTTCTCCAAGGTTAAAAGAGTCAACAAAATTATTTGGGAATCTATTTACCATAATAGAACTACGTGGGTCTCTCCCCAGTTAAGTGGTAATACAGGGGCCTATCCGCAAGTAACCCATTGTAATTTTTACTGTAACATATCCTCTCTCCTTTTTTGCTAGTTGAAGAAACCCCTCTGTATGTTTCGTAACTGTCCAGTCGAAGAAGCCCCTCTGATCTTCAATTTTGTTTGGGTTGGGGAGCCTAACTGGTAGCTCAGTTATGAATGTTGTGCATTTAACTATACATTATTTCAAGCGTTATGCCCGTGCTCGCATGATTTGGCTTGGTTTCTTTGATTTGTGTATATGGTACTTTGTCCTCTATGAGTTTTCTTTTTAGATTATGGTTTTACTTCTAAAAAATAAATTATAATAAAATTTTGGGAAAATTGCTTTGTCCACAAGTAACTTATTGTAAGGGAAAATTGCTTCAAAGGCCCCCAAACCCAACTTCTATTGTGCCCCACCCCCTTACTTTCCCTAATGTGTTTCACCCCCTCCTTTTTAAAAAAATTGCGTCCAGGCCGCTCAATGTCCAATTTCCCGTGGGTACTTACAACAAGCTGAAGAATAAGAAGTATGGTCCATGCAAAATACTGAAGAAGATTAGCGACAACGCTTATGTGGTTGACCTTCTTACAGATTTGAATATTTCTTCTAGTTTTAATGTTGCAGATTTGTTTGAGTATTACCCACCAGAAACAGCTGTTCATGCAAGTGTAAGCTCGGGGTCGAGCTCTTTTCAAGCAGGGGGGACTGATGTAGAACACACAGCAGACATGTTTATGTCAAAGTGGGACAGTCGCAAGCCCAAATGCGGGCCTGGTCGAAGAAAATAACATGTTTCGAAGAAACGGCCGTAACTTTCAAACCGTACGTCGGAATTGGACGAATTATATATGAAAATAGACTATCTCGACGAGACGGAGACATCCAAACCGACCCCTTCAGGTTCAGTTTGCGTTCTCAAATTTGCCAAATTCCTTACGGTTTGAGAAATAATTACAATTTTGTCTGTTTTTACTATTTTTAGTAATAATTTAGGAGTCTGTTTTGTTTAGGAAACAAATCCGATTTGATCTCAGATTTGACCGATGGACTTTCCTATTCATAAGGAGTCTTTTTAGGAGTTTTAATGTTTTAGGAATTCTTTACCATTTTTGGTCTATTCATAAGGAGTCTTTTTAGGAGTTTTAATGTTTTAGGAATTCTTTACCATTTTTGGTAAGTTGAGGGTCATTGTAGGAATTAGAGTCCTTGTAGGAGTCTTGTTTCTTTTTCTATTTAAGAAAAGTCTTGTAAGCCCTAGAGGCATAACTTTTGATTAATAAAATTTTGTTTTTCCTCAATATTTCTTCGTGGATTCGAAGCTCTTCGTGGATTCGAAGATCATTCTTTGTGGATTCAGAGAACACCCTTGGTGAATTCCGAGGTTATCCACCCGCCTCCCTCTCCGTCTACCTCTCCCCTTCCCCGCTGCACCTCTCCCTACACCTTTCTCCTCCTCCTCCGGTCCCTCTTTGCCCCCTCCCTCGTTCCGCAGCCGGCACCGTCATGAGGAACTTCGCGTGGACACATTAGTAAGAGTTAACATGTTAGCTGCAAGAGTTAACATGTTAGCTGCAAGAGTTAACATGTTAGCCTGCAAGAGTTAACATCCGCTGACATGAGAAAGAGGAGGGTAAATTTGGGATTTAAGCCAGCTGACATGTCTAATCATGAGCTGACATGTCTAATCAACTGCTGGCATGAGCTGGAATCATGATGGAGGGGTCTTGGGCACATTTTTTTCAAAATAAAGGGGCTAAAGCACATTAAAAAAAATAGGAGGGGTTGAGGCACATTGAAAGTTCAAATTTGGGGCCTAGAAAAAAAATTTCATAGAATTTTTTTTCTTTAGACTACTGATAATCATATTTTATTATAGTTTTATACCTTCATTATCTATTTTATATGAATAAATATACTACTAATAATTGTTTTTATCTTTAATTGCAGGTTAATGAAGAATAAATCTCAAACTCTCATTTCTCAACAAAAACCAATTGATTAAATGAAGAAATGAAGCAAAGAAGCCCATTGGAAAATCAATTTCCAAATTATCCAAAAGCCCAGAATCAAGCCGAGTAGCCTGTAGAAGCCGGAGAAAATCAAAAATCCAATATGAAAAGAAATCATATTCAAAATGGTTGGCCACAAAGAAACGACGATATCTCCCAATCCGGAAGGCGGAATTTAACATATAATATATGAAAATCACCTATCTCGACAAGACGAAGCTATCCGTGAAATCAGAATTTGGACCTTCCAAAATTGTAACTTTAGTTGCAATTAATAATAATAATTTTTTCACCACTTTAAATATTTCTTCTCTTTGTTGGATGATGAAGATGGAGATGAAGAATTATTTAGAGGTTTGCATTTTCTTTCCTTTTTCTCTTTTATTTCCTTTTTATTGCTTATTAGTGTAGATTTATTTCTATGCTTGTAGTTTAGATTTTATTTTCTTGTTAAATAGCCAAGAGGCTAGAACCCTCTTGCCTTAGATTTATTTCATGCTTATAGAATAGATTTAATTTCTTGCATTTAATTCTTGCAATTTTATTTTGTAGTTTAGATTTTGCACTTTATTTTGTAGTTAGATTTTAATTTCTTATACTATTCACCTTGAGGCTAGAACCCTCTTGGGTTTAGTTTTTCTTTTTGTTTATTTTTATTTTGTTTGATTCGCCTTTAGGCTAGAACCCTCTAGGGAATCACCCTTTTCTAAGAAGTGGGTTCAATTGTAGATTACCCATATCTATAATTGAATCCACCATCTTTAATTTCTTGCATTTTCTTTTTGAATTTTATTTTCTTTATTCTTGATTTTTATTTTCCTTTTCCTTCTTGCCTTATTGATCATATTCATTCTTTGTCACATCCACTCTCACTTATATCTCGTGCCGATTTACACACTATCACTTCCACTCTCTCTATCTCTCCACAATCACATTCACTTATCACTCCTACTTGTCACACACACAACATAAGAACCGATTTTATATTTTCTCCTACAAAACACCTTCCTCGTGGGATCGATATCTTAAATACTATAACTTGACACGGTTGTGCACTTGCAACCTTTTTGGTACATGTTTATGCCGCATCAAGTTTTTGGCGCCGTTGCCGGGGAGGGTGCTTAAGTAGGTTTTAATTATTTTGGTTCTTTAAGTTGTGTGTTTATTGTGCAAGAACTACTTGGAGATTAAGGATCAAGAATTGGAGATTGAGGAATTGGATATTCGCTTGTGGTAAGTCTTTTTCCTTATATTTTCAATTTCATACCTTTAGTTAGCTTCTTCACAATTAGAGACAATTAGGACTTAAAAAAAAAGATTTTATTTCCGTTGACCATAATAAAATTCACCCTCCACTTTGACATTTACTAACAAGATAATAAATTCAAACAAATTCCCCCCTTCTCATTTGTTTGATTATTAAACCTAATTAAAAAAAAAGATTCCCATCCTTTTTAGTTGCTTTTAATTCATAGGGTTGCATTTCATATAGTTAGTAGGAATTCACCAAGTGATTTGAGCATCTTGATTTGACACACACTTAAAAATATTTTTAAGGGCAAAACCCCATAATCAAGATAAGGTGAGGGATTTCATCACCCTTTCCTTAGCCCAAAAATCACTAATTCCTCACTACACCACCCAAGCCTAATAAAACTCATTAGACGTTGGCCCCTAAGGATTCGAGCTCAATAAGGAACAAGAAATCCTTAAGTGAACCGGTTTAAGTTTTCTCAGATTAGTTGGTGTCTAAGGCAAGGTTTAGGGGTTGCGTAAAGCGCTCCGTAAGGAAAGAGGTACTTAATTGATCTTTGATCACCCTCTAGTACTATCCTTACCTGGCTAACTACCTGGGTAAAACTTTTATCTTTTTACTTTAGGAATTTTTGGTTAGGAGCTAGTCTAGTTGAGTTAAGCTTAACCCTAGAGTTAGAGTGATTGAAAAATGATTGGTTTTGATTTGTTTTAGTTAGGATTTTCCTTTTTTTTCAAAAAAAAAAGAAAAAAGAAAACTAACTTTTATTTTTTTCAAAAAAAAATTATATAAAAAGAAATTGTTTTTGGTGCATGCAAAACGTGGATTAAGGACAATACACATCAACAAATTTATTTTGAACAAATGACTAATCCACAAGTTTTTCAAAATTTATGTTATCCCAATAGGATTGAAATTTTCAATGAAGTTCGGGAGTTTGAAGAGAGTCCATATCAGTATTCGGTAAATGATCTATTTTTTCCAACCTACAACCCAGGTTGGGCAAGTTACACAAACATTACATGGAATCAGGGAAACCACTCCGAAACTCAAAACTTCACTCCCTCTTCGACCCAATATTTTCTTAGGGAAAATACAGTTCCTTTTAATTCTCATCCACAATTTCAACAACCTAGTCTGTCACATCAAAATCAGTCTCCTCATCATCAAGTTGTAACTCACACTCCTC